CCCCCACACACCCCCACACACACACCAAACCCAACCATTCACACAGATGAATGTAGCACTGACAAATATATGGATACAAAAAAGTGAAACAAACAAAAAAAACCCTCACATAACTCACAAATTTCCATAAAATTGTTTTATATCAAAATGAATAAAAAGTGCTAGACCATAAAATTCTGTTTTAGGTTTCAACTCAATTCCACCAGTGATAAGCATTTACTCAGTACCTACCAGGCAATGAGTTAGGTACTAGAGGTGTATCAGCCTTCAAAGTTTAAATCATATCATCATTTCCCTGATTGCTTCTGACACAGTTCAAAATTATTCTCTTCCTAGTTAACAAGCTTTGAAAACTACTGCCCATCTAAAGCAAATTACCTCATGCAAGAATGGCAATTCATCTCTTGCTCTGTGGTATTCAGCCACACACTCTAAGCAGTAGCAGAGGTCTTCATTAACTGTTTGAAATTCACTGGATAGGGTGTTGGACGCATAGCGTTTTAGGAAGTCAATGGTGGAAATACCACCTGGTGTACACCAACAACATGTGCTCATTCTGTACCTATATTCAGGAAAAAAAAGACTAAAGAAATCAGCTGGTTACAGCACAGTGTTATAAAGACTAAAGAAAAAATAACACTTCAGGCCTATTCTGCGTGAAGAATGAGTGTACTTCCTACTTCCGACCCTGGTGTTCAACTTAAAATGTGCCTCCACAGACAGAACATTCTGCTGTCTGGCTTATCAATCACTGAACTGACTGAATTCAAATCTTAAAAACCTTATCTTTGACACATGAAAAATATAGAAAAATGAAAGCATTTTTTATTTTATTTTTTTTTATTTTTATTTATTTATTTATTTATTTTAAATGACCGGTAAGGGGATCTTAACCCTTGACTTGGTGTTGTCAGCACCACGCNAAATCCCTGGCAACATAAAAACCCAAAGAGGGTACTTCAAAAAGTTTGTGGAAAAATGGAAATAAAGTATGAATCCTTCCATGAAATTTTTAAAGACTCTTTGTATTAACCTGTACCAATAACTCATATAACTTTCTTTTGTTTAGAAAGCATGTGTACATGAACTCGCACATATGTATGAATTGCTGCCCATACCTCACTGCTCTTCAATGCACTGTAAACTCTAATAGCTACAAATGTTAACAACCTATTGCTACTAAGTTTAATACAGTTTTTGACCTTCAACTTTTTGTTTTCATAATACCAGCAGAGCCTCCACCATCCAAACTCAAAAGTTAAAGGGTGAAAATGAAATAATCTTCTCATTCCAAAGAGAGCAAAGTAGCAAAATGGTAACAGGAAGGAAGAGGAAATCCCAAGAACCAAATTTGTCAAAAGTTTGAATGAAGGTGGGTTTATCAGATTTGTACATGGCACAAAACCATGAGGATTAGCAAATACAATGGAAGCCAGAATCCAAAGAGATCTCCAACTCTAAAGAGGTGTAATAAAAACAAGCTAAGATCCTGTATTTTTAT